ATATATATAAATATATATAATAACTTTAATTAGATGCATTTAACGGTCCCGGAGGGTCCGTAGGAAAATATAAAACTTGGGCGTATGCCCGGAATCAAATTCCGAGGTCCCAAACTTGAGAAATGAATTTTTTAAAGAAATTATTTTCTGAAATTGTTTATGAGTTTTGGAAATAAAAAGTGTTTAAAACTTGATGGTATCGGGCCCGTATTTTGGTTCCGGCGCCCGGTACAGGTCTTATATGTGATTTAAGATAAGTCTGTGAAATTTGGTAAGAAACGGACTTGAAATGACGTGAATAGGATCGTTTTTGAGAAAATTGGAAAATTTGAAGTTCTTAAGAAATTTCATGATTTTGATGCTAAATTCATAGTTGTTGATGTTATTTTGGTGATTTGGATGCACGAGTAAGTCCGTATGGTGTTTTTGAGGTAGTGTACATGTTTGGTTTGGATCACCGAGGTCTCGGGAGGTTTTGAACTTAGGAAAAATTGTAGAATCTGTTGTCTGCTGGTGTCCAGGACTTTGTTCTATGTGATCGCATAGTAAAGTTCGCGATCGCATAGGGTAATTTCAGGGGGTCCACTTTGTACTATGCGATCGCATAGGTCTTTCCGCGATCGCGTAAAGTAAATTCTGGGAGGTACATTTTTGTTCTATGCGATTGCATTGTTTCTTCCGCTATCGCAATGGGTTAAGCCAAGCTTGGGAAGGGAATTATTTTCTTTTATGCAATCGCATAGCCTAGTCCGCGATCGCAATGCCCAGTCCCCCTTACCTTATGCGATCGCATACCATTATCCGCGATCGCATAGAACAATTTCTCCCAATCATTTAAACAGTCACAGAACATACGGGATTAAACCAAAACTCCATAACTTCTTCTTCCAAACTTCAAATTGGGCAATTTTTGAAAGAGGACTTCACCACAAATCCATAGGTATATAATCTTAGACTCATTTTCTTAAAATTCTATTAACACCCATTAAATTTCTAGGCTTAAATCATGTTCTTAAGGGTAGAAAATTAGGGGTTCGGGTAGAGTTAAGGCTTTTTGTATAAATGGAATTTAGACCTCATTTTGGGGTCGGATTTCGAAACTAATTACATATTCTGGCTCGTGGGTGAATGGGTGATCGGGTTTTGGTCCGAACCTCGTATTTTGACCAAGCGGGCCCGGGTTGATTTTTGACTTTTTGGGAAGAATGATAGGGAATCTATAATTAAGCATTGGAATTGAATTATTTAGCGTTTATTGATGTTATTAAGTCGATTATGTTTAGATATAATTGATTTGGAGCCAAATTCAAAAGAAAAAGCGGTGTTTGAGGCTTGAGTTGGCCGTGGAAGTTTAAGGTAAGTGTTTGGTCTAACCTTACCTTGAGGGATTAGGAGTCGAGTCCTATTTGCTATGTTGTATATGTCGAGTACGACGTACAGGCATGGTGACGAGTATCTATACGTTGGTGTCAAGCATGCCCGTGAGTCTTATATTGTGATTATTATGGCTTCGTTGTATTATTCATGCTTTGATGATGATTTCTATTGTTGGGAAAAGTTTGTGGAAGTAATTGTGACATTTGAACATTGAGGAGTGTTGGCTCAAGTTTTACAATGAAATGTGAAAGTATAAGTGGAAATTGAACTTTTTAGAGCATTGGCTCAAAGTTGTGAAGTGAGTTGTGAAGTAAAAGTGAAAAAGAGAAAAAAATCATTATATTATCTCCCTTGCTGGGAATTTATTGTTTTTGATATTATCTACCTAGTCGGGATGTTGATGTTTCTTTTGATGTTATTCCCTTGCCAGGACTTGATTGTTGAACTATTGTTCCCTTGTCGGGATTCTTATTGTAATTTTATTTATTCCCTTACCCTATTATTTGTGATTGTTGTTTGGGTGAGTGTAAGCACGTGATTTTTGCTTCACGGGAATTACTCCAAAAGAAAAGAAAATCAAAAATATATGCATAAATGTTTCTTATCATTGGTTGATTTTATTAAATGTTAATCTGTGGGTATATAATTTTACTTTGTCTTATTTAAGAATTTTGTGTTTAAATTAAAATAGAAAAAAAAAGAGCAAAAGAAAATGAGGCTACTCGGATTGGGCCAAAATTTAAAACAGTAGGCCCAAACCACGTCCACCATCCAGTCCAAGCCAGGCCTGCCCAAGTACGGACTCAAACGACGCCGTATCAGCGTCCCTATTGAGGCCGTTGATCTGACTCAAACGGACGGTCTTGATCAGACTGCTCATTTACCCAAACGACGCCGTTTCAGGCGTCTAATCTGAGCCATCCGTCCAGGCCAATCCAATGGCCCAGGACCCCTCCTTTAGCAACCCGTTCCCAAACCCGACCCAGTAATCGGTTCAACCCAACCCCTCACTTAAACCAAACGACCTCGTTTTAATACCAAACGACCCCGTCTCACCCCTCACCATCGGATCCAAGCCGTTGAGATCATCCGATCAAACGACCCAGATCCAAACCCCTAGATCGTATATAAGCCTTCTATCGTACCCCACGCCCCCTATCCGAACCCCCCCTTTCACTCATCTTCTTCACCAAACCCTGAACCCCCTGAAACCCTAGCAGCCGCCCTGGCTTCCCTTCCACCAGAACCCGGCGGCATGAACACCGGTGACCACCCCCTTAACACCCTTGATGCATCTCACCACCCCGAACCCAAATCTGTTACCC